TTTTTTTTTTTTTTTTTGCATGAGAGGAGGTGCTGTTATTAATGATGCCAGGTCAGCAGGTATACACCAGACTGTCCCAGACAAACAGGCCTTAAAATGCAGGCCATGGGACTTGAACTTCACCTCATCAAGCGTGGGAGCCAGGGAAGGTTCGGGAGCAGAGCCCTGACACCTAATAAAATTGGTGCTTTAAGTAGACTAAGGAGGCAGCAGGCTCGGATAGGCTGGCGGGAGAGGCTGGAGGCAGGAAGGCAGAGGAACCTGGGGAGGACGGAGCTGGGAAAAGAAGGCAGATAAAGGGTGAGAAGTTGGCCGTTCCCTCCTCTCACTTGTTGACGGCGAGGGCTGGGAAGCCTCCTGGGAGCGGCTGGGGGGCTTCTCCAGCTGTCCCAGTGCCTGCCCCAGCTGCCTCTTAGGGAGGCCCGGTCCTCCGCCCCTCCTCCGTCCCGGGGGTGCTAGTGTCCGCGCCTTGTCTCTCCCTTCGCCTCCGGCCTCGAAGAGCCTGTCGGGTGAGATATACACCCGTCCACAAAGCCTGAGGCCAAAAACGGGATGTGTTTGACTTTGAGCGTGAGAATTCGGGCCAGCCTCTGTCATGGGTATTCTGCTACCCAGAAGCTGAGGGTGGGGCAGGTGGCACCAGGTCTTGGCCTTTCGTGTCCCCTGACCCCCAAAGCAGAAAGTGTTGGCCCAAGAGCTGGAGTGAGGGAAGGAAGGTGCACACCTCCCCTTTCCTGACACTCCCAGGAGAATGCAGGGGGGGCGCCCTAATGCCAAACACGTGGTCCACAGCTGGGGTGGGACAGTGGGGAGAGGAGAGGGAGCTGGAGAGCCGAAGGACCAGCTCCCGAGCACTCTGACCCTTTATTTTTCTCTTTTCTCTATCTGGGAGAAATATATTGAAAATTATCTCAAATAATCTCAGAAAGATCTCAAATTATCTCAAATATCTCAATACATAAATGCATGCCAACCTGCCCACCCTTTGCATTCACGGAGGCCAAGGAGGGCGCTGACCGCATCGACGGTCCCACCCCAGCTCCTGGCGTGAACCCTGAGTTGACAAGATGTCTCCCTGGCCCAGGCAGCAGGGGAACAAAGTGCAGTCGTCTCTGGCCTGGAAAGAAAACCCTCCCTCTCCTTGGGCCTGAGGGGTGATCCCGGCTGCATCTGGAGCCCAGTGAGTCCTGCAGTGGGGTCAGCTGTGGTCACACAGGCCGGCGGCTGGGGCCAGAGGGGAGCCTCGCTCCGCCCCGCAAGAGAGGAATTCCTGCTTCGTGATATATCTTCAGCGCTGGAGGCTGGTGCGTGATCTCAATGTCCTCACCTGGAGAATGGGCGTAGGGCAGCCTGGTAGGTCAGAACTATTTTTTTTTTCTTTATAATGTAAGGTGCAATTGTTGCCGGTGAAAGTGATACGTTCTCTTGCGGTGACGTCACTACCAGCTCCTTTATCTAGATAACTGCTAAGAACTGACTCCTTTGTTCAGGGAAGCATCCTTAAGTGGCCCCTCTCGGTACCCACAGGCTAGGCTAGGCTAGGGTGCCTTGATTTCCCAGGGGAGGGGACGGGGCAGGTTCCTGGGGGCCCGGCAAAGGCGGGCTCCTCCAAGTGCCTGCGTGGAGGAGCAGGGGGTCCCTGGCTTGGGGCCGAGGAACATCAAGGAAGCGGTTGAACAAAGCTTGGGATGAAGTGCCCCAGACGGAGAGGCCCATGGCCCCCACGGGGATGGCACCAGGAGGAAGGGAGGCCAGGGATCAGAGCTGGTGACCTGGCTTAACCTCAGGGCCTCGATGCGCCCGGGCCCAGAGTGCGGCTGAGAACAGAAGCCG